GCCCCGCACGTGGCCGCCGCCACTTCTCACGCCACGTGTCCCCGTGGCGGCCTGGCCTGCGAAAAACCCGCCACGTGTCGCCACTTGTCACGCCACGTGTCCCCGTGGCCGCCACTTGTCACCGCGGCGCCGCCTCCGTGCGCCAATGGCAACGCGGGAGCGCAAGGACATACAGACACACACACAGACACGGATTTTAGTAGTTGTAGATTCGACGTCGTCGAAGTGGACCCTTCCAAGGGAACCAGTTAATGTTAACAACTACCGAAGCAATGACTCCTAAGCTCAAGGGAAAGCGGCTTGCTGAGCTCTTTTTCACGCGTGATGTACCCGGCAGCTCACATTGGACATGTAAGTGTTGCGCTAAACGGGTACAGAAGGGATTGGGTTACACAAACTTGTGCTCCCATGTCACCAGCGAGCACCCTGAATATCGCGACCTTGGCTCTAATACAGAATCTTCGCACAAGCCCGTGACGGTCATGGATCATTTCTGGCCGCAGAAAACGCAGCAGATTCATGCATGGCTCGAACTGATCATAATGAGTCTGATGCCGTTTTCATTCTGCGAAAACGTCTATGCCAGGAAACACATGAAGCCAGAATCTGTATCTGTGAACACTTTCAAGAAATACATGGGCGGAGTTCAGGGACGACACACTATCTGGGCATGTTTGCTACATTTCCAGCCGAAATACCCAATGGATATAGGTCCGTGTTCTTGACATTTTCACCTATGGGCGATGAGGAAAGATTGGATGCTGATGAGCATTTTACATTTGTTACATACATTCTTGGATTGTACAAGAGATCACGGGTTCACGTTGCTGCTATTATCGGCTACAACTGTTGCACTAACAAAGCCTTTGCCCGAAAGGGAGCCTGAAAGTTTATTGGCTGTGCTAGCCATAGATTCAATTTGGCGGTTCAAGACATTCTGTCAGATTACGATGATATCATTGGGTTGGTACGGAAGCTAATGATGAAGCTGGGAAATCTAATTCCAGCAGCGGAATTGCGGAAAATGACGCCGTTGAGGGCCAGGTGCAACAATGTCACACGATGGAGTTCTACATTTGAAATGCTTTCGCGCTACAGGGAGATAAAAGATTTCCTTCCGCATATGCACATGGATTCAGTAGACGAGGTGATGCCAACGACGAGGCAAAATCGGGACATAGATTAATTGTTGGAGCGGTTGCGGGATCTAAACTCTGTCACAAAGTCGTTGCAAAGGGATGATTTAACAATGACTGACGCTCGTCATCTGTTTGATACTGTATTAGATGCGTATCCGGGAACCCGATCGAGACTGGCTCAAGACGCCAGTATTGTCTACCATCATTTATTTGAACGGGCCGTGGTGAAAGTGCTTCAGAAGTTGACTATGGATCTATCGGTCGATGAGGAGAGGGCAGTAGAACACCTCAGGACTAATGTGAATGACGATGTCGACATGCCAGACATGTCTGGCACATCGCTTGCTGATCGTGCTTTTAAACAAAGAAGAATAAGCCTGAATGGCTCAAGTAGCCAATATTTAGACCTGCGCTTCCTCCTCCCGACCTCCAATATTTGTGAGAGGCTATTCTCTCAGGCCGTCTACGCCTTAACTGATCGCCGACAGAGCATACTGTAGTATAATGACCGGCGCGAGCGCGCGGAGGTCATCGGACGGCCGTATACGGTATACACGTGGGCGGTTGTGCCCACGTGTAGCGAGCGCGCGCGCATGCCGAGCTGTCGTAACCTGGCGTACGTGTACAGTAGTGCACGTGTCGTCCGAGCGGTAGTCTACGCGTGTTACGTGTGCGCGTTAGCACACGTGTCGTCCGTGCGGTAGTCTGTAAGCAACACGCGTGTACAGTAGTGCACACGTGTAGTAGCAGCGTCCGTGCGGTAGTAGCAATTATGGCGCTACCTTTTTAATTGTGTACAGTACCCGGCACGCACTAGGCGGCAGGTACTGTACTACTGTACGGGGACAGGTGTCCGAGGCGTCCCTCTGCCGGGTTAAGACCTGGCACCCGTCCCCACCAGTAAACGGGGGCAAGCTCGCCCCCGTCCCTTTTGCGCCTACGTACGTCCGTTTTCGGTTGTCTGTCGCGCGCGCTGGCTTCTAACCCGTTACCGGTCGCTCCCGTTCACGCACAACGGGGCGAGTGCCCGTAACCGGACAGTGAGCCACTCCCTTTTCGCGAGCTCGTCCGATCGGTTCAATTAGCGCGTCGCGTCTACGCCGGGTGCTCCCTTGCTAATAGCTTCCGCCTCTCACCCAACCTAGGGCGGAGAGGAGTTATCCCACATTTGGTACTCTTGTGGAGGGGATAACTCTTGAGGTTGAGCCGCACGCGTAGTCGCTGGATCGCGCGCAGAACCGTACGGACGGAAAAGGTTGAGAAATCACGGCGTCGATGGCAAAGCGTATTCGACGATGAACCGACCGGATCAAGGGGGAGACTCCGCCTCCGGGCGTCTGAGCACCCGCAGTGGCAGTGGCGCACCGCGCCCCCGGGTGGAGAACCCAGAAGCCCTGCTGCGACCGCCACCGCGACCGGGCCGCACGCGAGCGTCTGCATCGGATGTTACGCCGGCCGTGTCGGCAGGCACTGAGAATCGCGTCCAATGGATGGTCGACGCGATTCAGCCGCGCATCCAGGCCTGGGTCGAGGAGTTCCTCGCTACGGAACTCCCCCAGGTAGCGCGCGTATGCCTCGACCGAACGGTGCCCGCGCTCGTGGACGCGCACGTACGCAGCGCGATACCACCGCTTTTGGACGAACTTCTACCCGCTCAAGTCCAATGCGAAGTAGTGACCGCTCTCACCACTGTCGATGAAGAATCCCCGTCCGGCACGGCTCTAAAGGGAGCGATCAGCTCCGCCGTGGCCAATCGTCTGGCCACGACCTTCGCCGGAGCAGGAGTCGACGCACGCGAGCAGCGCGACTCAACCACTCCGGATCCTACGCTAACGCACGCTGAACCGATCGGCGCCGCACCCGGGATCGGTACAATGGCCCCTCACCCGGAGGGTAAGACCATTTGCCTCCCACCAATTTATGGTGCTACAGGAGGGCCCACAGAAAATGGCCCTCCCGTACTCGCCGATACGGCTGGCCCCCGCGGGACAGAAAACTGCCTGGGGCGCTTCGCGACAGAAAAGCGACAGCCGTATCGGTCGAGCAGAAGAAGCGCACCCGGCGCTCAAGGCTACACCTCGGAGGGTACAGAAAACCCCTCCGAGGAAGAAGACACAAGACATCGCCACAGGGCGAC